GGGGGAGAAGGGAGGGGGGAGAAGGGAGGGGAACAAAAGAGCGCTCGCGCGCCTCCCCCCACCCCTCTCACGCAGCCGCCCTGAGGGGACGCTGATCCGCTCTCCCCCTCCTCCCTGATTCACTGACTGACAGACAGAAACTGGACTCTTCAGGCCTTGCCAGGCCCGGGCCCGCCTTCAGGCACGTTAACGGCCTTGCGTTAGCGTGCGTGCTTACGCAAGCGCGCACGTCCCACGTTTTCTCTCGCGAAGGAGTCGCACTGGGAGCGCCTCGCTTTCCCCTCCCTCCCTCCCTCTCCCATTTTTCAACCGGCCGACGCCCGCCTCGCTGTGCGCCAGCCGCTGATTGGCCGGCCGCATTTCGTACGTCCTGACGCTAGCGAAGTCGGATGGAACCCAATCGTGTTCCCGTCCCCCGGAGCGATTATACCCGTTTATATACTATATGCTTATATATAATGTATGTAATATATCTATATTTATATATGATATTTAGATTGAGGCTGCAATCCTGTGCACACTTATATGAGAGTAAGGCACATTGAACAAGGTGGGGCTGACTTCTGAGAAAATGTATTATATTTATTTAATTAATTTTTTAGGCCCCTCTTCCCTGCAAGCCGGGCTCAGGATAGCTTACAACTGAAAGGAACATGCAATAAATAACTAGAAGTTAAAAATCCTACAATAAAATACATAGTTATGCATAGACTGAATGTGTTACCTATTGCTATAAAATGTTTACATTGTCTTTTTTTAAACTACAATTAGTATATAAAAATGTGTGTACCTATTCTACCATGAATGACACAATGTCCAATGATATACCAGCATTCCAGATGTTTCTCTAAAATGCTATGTGTGCTGGAAGGTATATTTGCATCTACATACATGTGCTTGTGTGTATACAACAAGCAACAAACAATACAGCGCACAGTCTAATATAGCCAGGAACAGCAAAACAACTGTGAGCTGAAATACCCGCAAGTATAAATGTACAAAAAGAGACTTAAATAAAGTGAAAAGAAGCATATAATTAGCAATATCAGTAACAAATATTACATATCGGAATGAAAAATCCACACAATCCATGAAGGGAAACAGTCAAGTCCAGAGAAGATATCCAACACTTTTCCTAGGTAGTTTATAGTGTTTCAGACTCCTGGTCCTTCCTCAGGGACAAAGAACTATACAAGTACAAAATTGTAAAAATATAAAATACAGCAATGCTTTATAACAATATAGCTTCTATACAATGATGCTTAATAACAATATATAATCACTGTTACACAGAGTCTCATGTATCTTACTAACATAGGAAGTCTCATACCAGTTTCTTAACAAGATGATGTTATTCAACTTCTCTGTAAGAGAGAGTAACTCCTTAGAATAAAGAATATAAATACATAGCATAATATATGGACCATAAAGCCGCCAGTATATACTGTGTGGATTTTTCATTCTCATATGTAATATTTGTTACTGATATTGCTAATTATATGCTTCTTTTCACTTTATTGAAGTCTCTTTTTGTACATTTATACTTGTGTGTATACATACATAGCCCATAGGGCATTCATTTGTTCGGTGTACTGCTTCTTTTAAGGACGCCACGATGGTGTATATCAGGGGTGGCCAAATTTGCTTGATGTAACAGCCACATAGAATAAACATCAGATGTTTGCGAGCCGCACAACATAAGCAAATATTACCCACACATTTTTATTGAAAAATATGCAAATTTGCTTTTTATTAACATTAAATTAGACTGTGTGAAAGAGCCACGTGCGGCTCCCGAACTGCAGTTTGGCCACCCCTGGTCCTGTCACAACAACCCTGCGGGGTAGATTAGGCTGAGAGTGACTGGTGCAAGGTCCCCAAGTAAGATCCATAGGAAGCAGGGATTTGAATCTAGCACTTCCTCTTCAGCACTAAGCACTCCACCACACTGACTCAGTGTGTACAGTGGCTAGCACACACAGAACAGCATATACTGTTATCCTACCCTTTGTCCAAGGGGCTCAGGGCTGAATGAATCCACCCCCCTCTGTTTTATCAACAGGCCTGTGAGGTAGGTCAGGCTGAGAACCAACGTCTGGGCTTGGGTCACCCGGTGAGCTTCATGTTGTTTAAATCAGGGTCTCTTGATCCTTGATTCATACTTCAACTGCAATTGGAGCTTACTTGTGCTCTCACTCTGTGTGCAGGTGTGTATAGATATGCTATATATGCACATACACAGCAGCTATACAAATAACTAGCACCGCATTGATGTTAGGTGTGTATCTTTAATACAATCAGAAGACTTGTGCGGGGTTTTTTTTAAATAGCTGGCTGACTAAATATAAACTATATGCTCATATATGTTATGAGCCAGAGCCATGGTGAGTTCTGCATAAACCCTTTTAAAATGAATGGGAACGGGGCAAGTATACTGCTGCAGCACATGTCCCAGTTATTTTCACGGGATTTGTATAACAGGATTTCTTCTTGAATTGTGAGGCACTTTATAAACTTGGGGATGAACATATGAGACATAACAGGGAGAAGACAGTTTTGTGATGAATCCACCTGTCAGCCAAGATCAGCACCAGAGGCCCTGTTGTTCCATCCCGTCTTCCCAAGCAAAGGTCAGAGACGAGGACTTTTCATGTCATGGCATCATGATAGTGGAAAACCTTCTTAACCTTGCTGTTTGCCCCGGCATTTCCGTTACAGCATGGTTGACTGTTCCTTTGCGCCCTGTTCGGCTGTTAACAGGGTGCCTATTATGAGGTTTTAACCAGTATTTTATCCATATTCAGTCCTTGATTGCTTTCAACTCTGAAAGGACCCTGAGCATTTTTAAGCAAAGTGCAACCTATATATTTATCATTAGTTAAAATATTTGTCTGAAGATGGTTCCAGAAGAGGCCATAAAGACTAGTATTCAGAGCCTTTGAGGAGTAACCAGGACCCATTGCCAGCATGGTATACAATGGTTAGAGTATCAGACTAAAATCGGGGAGACCCAGATTTTAATCCCAGCTCTACTATGGAAGCTTTCTGGGTGACCTTGGGCCAGTCATGCACTCTCAGCTTAACCTCCTTCATAGGGTTGTTCAGAACATAGAATGAGAGGGGAATCTCAGCTGCTTTGGTTCCCCCATCAAGGAGAAGGGCAGGATATAAATGAGGTAAAATCTGGGAGACCCAAGTTCAAATTCTCACATGGCCGCGGAAGTTCACTGGGTGAACCTGGGCCAGAGGGCGGCTGTGAGAATTAAATGGACTCAGGGAGAACACTGTTGTAAATCGCTTTGGGTCCTCATTGGTGAGAAAAGCAGGTTATAAATGATCAAAATAAACAAAGGCTCCTCCGATTTGGAGGCAGGAGACAAAGCATTTGGCAACTGACCTACAGCCAGCAAGAACATCGCTGAGGGATTGCCACAGCCCAAAAGCAGCTATTACCAAAGCATTGCAGTATTCTGTCCTTGCTGGGTCCTCTGACTACAGGGACTCTGCCTGGAACATCGTAGTACTCAGGGGCACGGAGATCTGTAAATACACATGTGTGCCTCTCTGGTCATTAACATGATCATCTCTCTGTGTGTTTAGGGCTGTCCATGCCCTTCCAGAACAGGCCTGTCTGATCCTCCTTGAATCCCCTTTCCCCGCAGCCACCCTATTTCACTTCCCAGATGTGACCCTAGACCAGGGGTGGCCGAACTGAGGCTCGGGAGCCACATGTGGCTCTTTCACACATATTGTGGCTGGGGAAGCTAAATATCATTAGCAAACAAATTATCATTGGACAAATAAATGTCATTATCAATATCTGCTTTTACCACTTTTGTTATTATTTTTGGCAGTCTCATTCAATGTTAATAAAAAGCAAATCTGCATATTTCCCAATTAAAATGTGTAATATTTGTTCATGTCTTGCGGCTCTCAAACATCTGACGTTTATTCGATGTGGCTCTTACGCCAAGCAAGTTTGGCCACCCCGAGACTGTCTTCACAATTGGACAGAGTCAGTGAGTGGCTTACTTATGCCTGTCTCCTCTTCCAGGAATAGAAAACGGAGGGAAGGGGACTCTAGCTCACTTATGCATATTGGTCAAAAAGAGGCACCCGAGAAAGCAAGAGGACTCCCTCCCCGGGGGGTGGGGTGGAGGCACATTGGTCTAGGTTATCTGTGAACAATTCCATTATATGGTGGGCCATCCTACAACTTTATATCAAGATTGTCGGTCCTGTGGAATAGCAAACCACTTAATTTGGGGGACCAAGTACACTGGCAGAGAACAATACCGAAGACTAACAGTTGCAGTCATATGCAGAGTAAGTCCAATCTAAGCCTGTTGACTTGAATGGATTTAGAACGGTATAACTGCATTGAATTGCACTGTAAATGCTGCAAAGCACATCTAAGAACATAAGAAGAGCCCTGCTGGATCAGACCAGTGGTCCATCTAGTCCAGCATCCTGTCTCACACAGTTGGCCTCTGGAGGGCCAACAACTGGGCATACAAGCTGAGACCTTCCCCCGATGTTGCCTCCTGGCTCTGGGATTCAGAGGTTTGGTGCCTCTGAATGTGGAGGTTCCTCTCAGTCACCACGCCACTGATAGACTCATCCTCCATGAATCTATCTAATCCCCTTCTAAAGCTGTTTATTCCTGTGGCCATCACAACATCCTCTGGCAGCAAATTCCAAATTTTAATCACTTTCTGTGTAAAAAAGAATTTCCTTTTGTC